CCGGTATGTGGTGAGATAAACTAGGCCATATTTAATTTAGTAGCCATAACTGCCTGGATTTCCAGAATTTTTTTTTCCATACTCGTCTGGATTTCCAGATTCTGTTTCTCCATATACAGTTGGAATTCCGGGGTATTTTCCCCATCATACAGTGCTGGAAATCCGACCTCATCAACAGGGGGGGGTGCAAGATATAAACTGGAATGGCCCAATACCATTAGGCTTGGTTTTGCTGGATGGCTTTAATGAAATACTGATCTTTGAAATTTCATTTATTTCACCTCCCCTATATTTCTACTTTGATTTCAGATGGTTCGTTAGCTTGTCATAGTGTTCCTTGTCAGCATGGAGGTACATGCCTCAATATTGATGCTGCACCAGGCTACACCTGCCAGTGTCCAGCTGGAAAAGGGGGTCCGGTTTGTGCTGATGGTAAGTAGGAAATTGATGATTTAATAAAATCATGTGGCAGTGACAAACCACCACCAATAATCATCAAATCACTATTACAAATATATAATTCGTGAAATCCTAGTCTATTTCTTGTTCTAGCGATGCTTCATGATACATATAGATTTCAAAACCAGATTGTATTTGTTGTGCATGTTAATCATCTTATTTGCATACTAAATGATGTTTCCTCTTTTATTTCTGGTAATAATTTTGTGTGCATGTTTAATCATCTAATTTGCATACTGAATAACTAATCTTGTTTCTTTTATTTATATTACAGATGTTGTTTTTTATTTGCCGTCGTTTGCCGGTAGCTCGTACTTGGCGTTTGGCAAAATGAAAGGATTTTTTAGTGTTGATATTCAAATGGAATTCCGGACTCTTACTAATGATGGTTTATTGCTGTTTAATGGTCAAAAAGAAGATGGGAAGGGGGATTTTGTTTCGGTTGCGATTAGAGGAGGATTTGTTGAATTCAGGTTTGTCTGCCTGTTAGCGCCCTCTTGTGTCTGCATTTGAATACTTTTTTGTGGCGTAATGATTGGGTAATTGTATTTTTGCTTGTATGATAAAAAGCTTGTATCAAGTATTTACAATTGTTTTCATCTTTCTTAGGTATGACCTTGGCTCAGGCACTGCAACATTGAAGAGTATGGTTAAATTACAGATGAATCAGTGGCATCGTGTACGTGCATCCCGTAATAAACGAGACGGTGAACTGAGCGTTGATGATGAGCCAGATGTGACTGGGGTCAGTGCGCCTCGACTGAGTGGTCTGAATGTGGAGCAAGATCTCTTCATCGGTAGTGTTCCTGACGCTCAAGAAGAGTAAGTCAGATCTGCTTGAAATCATATTATACCGTAATTTCTCATTACGCAATCAGATTTAATTCTCAACATTTATTGTGTATTCATGTACATTTATATTGATCCATTTTATGGATTTGCAAAGTGACAATTATGTTGTTTCACATTCTCCTACAGCATAATGAACGAGATCATTTCTTTTGTATTTATTTCATGGTATGACTATCAATGTACATGTACCATGAATACATTTGAATCATTCTTCTTCTTTTCAGGGTGTTTGGCCGCGTTGGTGTCAGCGGTGGATTCATCGGGTGTTTGAAATCTTTACGTATAAATGGCATCCGTTATGATTTAGAGTTTCCAGGTCCTGATGTTTTGTATGGTAAGCATGTTGGTGAATGTGGAGAGAACCCGTGTACTGCTCATCCGTGCAAGAATGGTGCCGAGTGTATAGCGCTTGATGCAGAAATGTACAAATGTATCTGTGTTGATCCGTATACAGGTAAATATCTTGTTTATGTTTATTTATATATTTTTTTGCAATTCTATTAAAAAAGATGCAAAGTAAGTAATGTGACAAGTTCTAATTTTGGGTAAAACTTGGTGGCGACAAACTAGATAAATAAACTGGGAATTAAAACGCTTTTTTTTTTTCATTTTTTTTATTTATTTGTTTACCTTACATCTAATGAGTATTAAGTGGCAAGTTACTATGTCTGTTATCATCGTTGTTGTCATTGTTAGCAATTTCTTGTGGCCAGGTTAACTCAAAATATTTGTCAAATCATTCTCAATTTTGTGAGCATTTCATCAGCATTTTTTTCCATTGAA